GTGCCCGGGAAGATGCAAATGAAGCCGGGATATTTAAATCCTGGGCTTCATTTGCCACTCCTGTTGCCCTCATCTGCCTACCTAGCTCGAGCTACCGAGCTAGTGTAGACATACGCCTATTTTTCTATTTCAGTGCTTCTCATGGTAATTCTTAATGAAGAACCAATATGGTGTAGCAAAGCCTAATGAAAGACTCAAACTATTCAGATGCTGTAATTCTGACAATTCCAGTGTCGTACATAATATTCTGATCACTAATCATTACATGCAGTTATAAAGAAACATAAATTCAATAAATTTATAGGATCTTAAATATAGTAATGAACAAAAAATCAGGAAGCTTTTATCTTCACAAGTGCGTGATGCACTACAGGGAGGAAAGAATCAACTCTGGTTACTACAAGCACTGGAATTGGAAAATTTCAAATCTCTTGCAAGCTTTATAACTTAAAACAATACCAGCTAACAATTAAACCAAATAACCATTTTTAAAAATAATACCCATATAACCAACTTTGAAATATTTAAAGTTGTTAGCTCTTCTTTGTATTATTAAATTGGGTGCCTGTTAGGACAGAACACTAACGTCTTAGTGTTAAAAAACGTACATGCACACTGCAATCATGTTAGCGTGATGGTGTGCCTTATTGCCATCATCAACTTTGACAGTTGCATAGCTAGTTATGTATTTCATTTCCAACATGGGTGCACACACACACACACCTTACTTGTTCCACATTTCTGATAGTCCTAAAAGATGGTCCCTATACCCAATTAAAACTAGCAATCAGTCTTATTTACTGAATGGAGATCTTTAACTAATGACAGGTCCAAATTGGTTTGAGTAATATAATGCTCTTAACAATCTAAGAATACTAGACTTCTAATTTCTCATCTAAAGTGTTGGAAAACAATATACCTCAGCACACTTCAGATTTATATAATGACACAACCTGACCACAGATGTAGACACTAATTCTAGAGGGATACCGTTATATATTCTTATCAAACTACAGATATTTGATTGAAATCAAGTCCATTGCAGGAGAAATTGACTTATGTGGGTTAAGGCATTGCTAAATGAGGTGTAAGGTGTTATTTCAACTTTAGCTTCCTCTCCCATTGGCTCTAGGGTTGCCAACTCTCCCGACCAGACAGTCTAGACACAATTTGCAGCAATGGCATTTGGTGTGGAAAAGCTGACAACACTAATTGGCTCCACTATATATTTTTTTTCTTACTGGAAACAACCAGTTAGGGCAGAAGAGTTATTAATCTCTATGCCCTAGTCTACACTAACTCCATAAGGGTACGTCTACACTTGCTCCCTAGTTCGAGCTAGGGATGCAAACGTAGGCAACCGAAATTGCTAATGAAGTGGGGATTTAAATATCCCGTGCTTCATTAGCATAATCTTGCCTGCACATTAATCCGCTCACCAGCTGATTCGAACCAGGAAGTGCTCTCCGGGACGCGTTAGTTCAAATCAAACCCTTTGGTTTGAACTAACATTACTCCTTGGGGTTTGATTTGAACTAACGCATCCTGAAGCACACTTCCTGGTTCGAATCAACTGGTGAGAGGAATAACGTGTGGGCGAGATTATGCTAATGAGGCGCAGGATATTTAAATCCCCGCTTCATTAGCAATTTCGGTCGCCTACATTTGCATCCCTAGCTCGAACTAGGGAGCAAGTGTAGACATACTCTAGCTCCCTTATTTCAAAATAACAAGCAGAACATCCACACTATCAAGCCTGTTATTTTGAAATTAGAGGCTAGTTATTTCAAAATAATAACTCTTTTCCATGAGGAATAACACTCATTTCAAAATAGTTATTTTGAAATAGTGGTAGTGTGGACACTCTACTGCTGCTATTTCGAAATAACTACTCCCCAGAGTCATTCAAAGTAATTACTTCCAGTGCTTCCTAGGGCTTTTAGTCGAGGTAGTGCGTCCACCTTAAGGGAGCCTGCCTCAGGCTAATGTCGAGGCTTCCCTGTAGTGTGGACAAGGTATTTCGAAATAGTTATTTCGGGAGTTATTATTTCAAAATGATTTCCTAGTGTAGACATGCCCTATGGGGCCTCTCCTAAGAGATTAGAATTAACTGTAATACACCTTTTTTTACACCTTTTTGTAATAGTTCATTTAGTTTGATTATTCCTGGTCTTTTCTGCAGGTCTTACTAAAGGCAAACTTGCCTCTGATTTCAGTTGGGAAATGGCTACATGCACATATCCTTGATTATTATTTGGATTAATGTTGTACCAAAATGGCAATACTGGCTATAATATTCTATGCTTACTCAAATCATTAACTTCTAAATTGTATGACAGTGCATTATAAAAGCATTGATTAGGTTTTTGCTAATTCTTATTATCCATCAATACTCCACCTCTTCATGCTTCATTCACAAGTTTTAATGATGTATCTGTAAGTGGGCATTGTATCCCATGATACACAGTCCATACAATTGGTACAAAGGTTAAAAATTAAAATACATTAATAAGGAAGAGGGCGAAAAAAAACCCTGAACTTGAAATATTTGTAGTGCATATAGCACCAGACCTAAAAGAGGTTTCTTTATATTTGCAGAGAATTTCTTGTACCTCTGTGCATCATTGATGCGATAAGTACACTGAGGTTTGATTAAGTTGGATATGGAAATTAAAACTTGGCTTTATATTCAAGAGGGTAGCTCACACAGTGGGATACTGTGACATCAAGTTTTCTGTTTACCCCTAAGGCTGGTGCTGCAATGACTTCAAGGTTTGATGGTGTCTCTCTTTTTAAGTTGTTGAGCAGCAGGCTAATAGCTGCACAGCATGATGCAAAGACAGCAGAAAACAGGGGAATCAGATGTGAATATATTCCCCACAGATATCCTGCTAGGATGGAGCTAACTAACCAGCGCTTTAGTGTTCAGATCTAGTCGACTCACACAGAGGTTTCTTTGATTCTCTGCCCACCCTGTCTTATTGTACTCTTTCTGATTAAAGACACTGTCACAAATAAATCATGACTTCTGGCATAAGAACTTGGATTCCTAATGAGGTTGCCATGTTTGGTAAAATAACCTATTTTTGACAGTCTCTTATTTCAATGTCTGTTTCCCCCCTCACTTATTTTTATATAAAGGAAGGGTTGCTAACTGTAGAGATTCTGTTTATTCCCATTTTTCCCTTGTTTGGAAGCTGCCTGTTCATGTGCCTCCACTTTCGCTCTCTGCTTTACCAGCTACTGGTGACATGTGGCCTATAATCACAAAACAAATTCCTAAAACAATATATTTCTTATGTGCAAGAGCTAAATCACAGTTACATATCTGAGCAAGGGAGTTAGAGTGAACAGATTAGAAATGTTATTAAAATCGCATCCTCCATTCCCTGTACATTGAAATGCCTGTTGTAGTTGCAGGGAATTGCAGGAACACAAGGTTATGCAGGAAGAGAGCACAATTCTAGCACAGATTTCAAAGTGAATAATTAAATCTCCTTTAATGCCTCATTATATATTCATTTTGTAACATAGCTGTTCCCTATATTTTGTGTACTGATGCCCAAATTCTACAGTTTTTATTCAAGCAAAAACCCCTCTGACTTCCAAGAGAGGCTAGTCTAAGAGAAAGGAACGGTCTGGTGTTGAATTTGGATGACAAGAAGGTGTGAAAGGTATTGACTTGGTGACTTGAGATCATATAGCTTACTGCTGGTTTTGCCGACTAAAGCTCATGATAGTATATAACTTTTGTTAGTCTCTGAGGGTGCATCTATACTGCACCGTAGCTCAAAATAAGACATGCAATTTGAGCTACGCAAATTGTGTAGCTTATTTCGAGTGTATTTCAAAATAGCTTATTTCAAAATTTGGCACTGTCTACATGGCACCAAATTTTGAAATAGAACACTATTCCAAAATGTCCTTTAATCCTCGTGAAATGAGATTTAGAGGGACGTCGGAATAGTGAGCCCATTGTTTCAAAAGCTATTTTGAAACAACAGGCTTGTTTAAAAGACTTGGAATAGCTATTTTGGGTTACTGGAAGTATCCCAAAATAGTGCCACTGTCCAGCTGCACCCTAAGGTGCTACGGGACTACTCATTGTTTTTAAAGTTACAGACTAACACAGCTACCCCTTTGAAACATCTTTAGCCATTCTTGCATAGCTGTGCCTTGGTCTAAAAACAGAACTATAATAATGAACTGCAAGTTCCATATAGACCAAATTCCGGATCTATTTGTTTTAGCTCATTTACTGTTTTTTAAACTGTCATCTATATTCAAGGCTTGCTTGCACCTCTGGGTGCAAGTGGAGGTATCTAATGGCTTTAACTGTCTGGATTAAACTGGAAGATTCTGCTCATGTGTAGCCCTTTAGCCCTTTTATATGCACCTATTTGTAACAGGAACACAAGTAATCTCTGTAAGTGCATGATCACAAAAGTACACTGTGGGTTAGAAAGCATATTTGCTGAAATAAGGACTACATCTCCAATGGCCTCTGAGGCTTGGAATGCCTCTCCAAAGCTTCTGTCTTTCTCTGAACTTGGAGAGGAGCCAAAACTAGAGTGGCATAATTCAGCTATGTGCTTTCCTTTGGGGCACAGCTGTTTAGGTCTGTGCCTATGTGCAATCTGAACCAGAACTATCCATTGAACAAACTATTTTGCACAGTATAGCCCTGTTACAGTGTTGATATTGTCTGATGTGTCAGGCAGAATGCTGTAAAAGATTCTTGAGCTTGAAACTTTTGAATTTAAAGAGAAATGTTATTTACAACAATCATTTAGTCTTTTCTTCAGTAAATTTAAAGATTTTGGTTTACACCTAAGAATTCTGAGTAAAGTTGAAGTAGGAAACAAGTTGACGGTGTTTCATGAATAAGTGTAGTGATTTAAAGATTCAGACTGCCTGTAAGGTTGTTATAAAAGCTACCTCTCGCCTTCAGAGATGCAGGACCAGTGTTCTGATTCTGTAGTTGCAGAAGTAAAAAATACCTGATACAGGGGCATGCAGATGCTATCAATCCATTCCAGCTGCAACCTGGGTAGTTCATCTTTCCTGTTCCGATCAAAAATAGCCTGAATGCAGAGGGGGGAGGAAAAGTGTCATGCTTTATTACAAGAGAATACTTTACAGATGCTTCATCCAGCACTCTGGAACTACAGCCAAACTGTTACAAACTGAATACTTAATGAACAATAATCAGTGTTTACAGTCTTTATAAGCCATTGTCTAGGATGAAAAATAAAACTTTCAGCTCTGTTTTTGAAATTTGTAAGTTGAATTTGACCATTTATCTAATGGTATCTTAGTGGAAACTGAAGATGGGCTTCAAGAGCTCATTTAAAGAAGAGAGAGTAGAATTTTGTGTGGGATTTTGAAAAATTTAACCTGAACTTTGAAGTGATGTAGGTATTTCTGAAAATCCCATTATTTGTTCTATGTAGACTGTTTTGTAAGCTTAATGCAAGAAAATTATCTTGTGCGGACAGGCAAAGGATACCACTTTGTCTTCCTGACCAGCTAGCTTCTCTAGATTCACTAGCAGTATCCACATATTTATTTCCTTTAAGTAACCTGTGATAAGGCTGAGTCATTAAACATTTCAGTGACTGCTACTGTTGCTTTTTAAAAACTCTCATTATTCAAATTGTAACACTCTGATTTTGGTCCTTATCCCTCAGACTTTACACTTTATATACTCCACCATTGGTTCCAAGATGGATTCATTTAAATCAAAGCAGATGAAAACACAGATTTTAATAATGATTTAAATCAGTCAGGAGGTAACTTTGATTTAAATAATTTTAATTCTCCTGCATTTCTATTTTTTAATTCTTTTACTAAAGAAAGGTTGAATATTGTTAGTTGATAAATCAATGTGCTTTAATTGATACAACTAAATATAGCCTTCACAATAAATGTGGTGTATATTTTTGCTAATGAGGAATATAAGTATATATACTTATTAATGCAATTATATAGCTTAATTTGCTCTTAGTCAGTTGTTTAATTTCTCCATATTTATCATGTTAGAAAATGATGAATTTATTTACCAGATTTAGTTTTTACTTGTGATTTTTGTCAAGCTGTATTTGCTTGGAAATTCAAATGCAATAAAAAATGCATAAAGAAAGCAGTTTAAGTTTTTTAATTGAACAAACCTACCTTAAGTTCTGGATACACAAGAAAAAAATATCAAAGCATGTTTTGCTTTAAATCCGATTCCCTAAACAAAGGAAGTATTGTGGGTAGCTAATGAACTGATGTGATTATTTCTGGTCACCATATGGTTTAGAATTTTAGAATTCATCTGTCCCCTCACACCTAGTTTTTATTAATAAATTGGAAGAGGAAAATAAGCTTTCCTGCTGCTCCCTCCCCAGCCCTCTGAACTCTCAATTGGTTTCTTTGAATGAACTAGTCATGGAACTGAATATGTTGAACAAACTGAGCTAAAGAAAGAATCTATTCTCTCTGCACCTGCAGAAGAGGCTACTGCTGTCAAAAGCTGGTTTAGCTGTTAAAGAAACTCTGATTCAGCTGTTTAGCCAGTGACTTCCACCAGTCAAATAGTCTGACTATTAAAGAAAGTTGGCAGCATGCATGTACTACTTAATATTGTTTGTATTTAATTTTAATAGACTTCTAATAGATATTTGCAGTGTTGTTGTAGTCCTGTTGGCCCCAAGCTATTAGAGACATACTATGAGTGAGAGAATATCTTTTATTGGGCCAGCTTCTGTTGGTGAGAGAGAAAGAAGCTTTTGAGCTACACAGAGCTTTTCAGGTCTAGGAAAGGTACTAAAAGTGTCAGAGCTAAATACAAGGTAGTTTAACATAAGTAGTTAAATATTACACTTTTTTTTATTAGATGCAGTAAGTTCAGTCTTTAATAAGCTTGTGCTTCAATTTAACATCAGGTTTTATTTAACTTCATTTTATTTTTTAAAAATTTCATGTTTTTAATAAACTCTCATTAGTTCACATTGGCTCAAATGTGAACCCATTCTCCAGCCCAGGTAATTTGTCTGGACACTAGGGAATGCTATGGTGTAAAGAGGAGGGGTAGAATTTTTCTTTAAGGCATTGGAGCAGAGGTAGATCCATAATGTGGGCACTACCCCCTTTTACTGGCTGGAGTAGGTGCCCCAGCTGCAGTGTCATCACTGTATTGGGGGTAGGAGGGGAGAGCCCTGAGGATGTGCACAATAGCACAACCCACTTTCCTTCTTTCTAATGTTGCTGCATAGAGCTTTCCCAAAATCCTCAGCAGCTCCCTGCACATAGGCCTATAACCCTACTCATACACCCCACCCTGCTGCTTCAGCGACGTGGGAACTACTGTATTAAGGAGTTTCCATGTTCCTGATCTGACAAATGCAGATTTGTGGCATGAATTCATTTTTCAGATTGTTTATGCTAGGGTATTTTCTAGAAACACTCCAAGTAATTAGAGTGCCCTTCTAGTTGAATATAACAGAATGTGTTTTAAAAGTCTGTTACACTGGGACTTCATTAGTGTGAGGAACACACTTTAATTTCTACATGCATTATGTGAAAAACACCAATACATATTATATGGAATGGTACTTTCAGTTATTGCAGGCTAAATTTGGTACAAGGCACCAGCATTGTTAGTGCTATGTCTGATTAAGTGCTAATCCACGGTATTATAGCTACTTTTTTTACTTATGTACATGAGAGGGCATACACAGAGAACTTCATTATCTTCTCAGGCTCTCTAGCTCAGTGCAGAAAGTTGTAAGCCATCCTGAGTCATCTTACAGTAACTGAAAGTCACTGAGTCAGATCTTCAGTGGATATAGATTACTGCAACTCTATTGACCTCAGTAGAGTCATGCCGATTTATACAAGCTAGGAATCTGGTTCAGTGAGTGCTTACCACACTGCAACATCAAAACAGCAACTCATATGAGTAGGCTGTATCACTTTCTTGAAGTATCCGCTGTATGCAGAATTATATGTAGTTTAAAATGATGAATCTCTATTTTATTCTTGAATGGCTTCAACTTGAACTTCTTAGAAGCCCTGTCTTCCTTTCCTCATGAGTCTGCTTTTAAGATACTTAAGTGGGAAGGTCCTCTTTTTGTAATAGGGTTTTTGGAGGTCACTTTTCCTCTTTGCAGTTTCCTTTAGCACTTTATACCTTTCCACATGTTTTATGTTGATCTGTATTACGGTGTAGAAGCCATCCCATATAACCCTACAATGATGGAGGTAAGGTTACTTGTAGGCATACAAAAGAAATGATTCCTTAGAGGGTATAGGGATGCATCACAAAACTGATGTCAGAAATTTCTTACTGTAACACAAACAAAACAATTATGCTTTCTAATAATGTAACTATTGCATCTTGGGTATTATACTCAATGCTGTTGTATAATGAGTAGACCATATAAACCTTGGGATATGTTCAGCGCATAAGGAGAAAGGACTTGATTCAAAGACCGTTGAAGTAATTGGGAGGCCTCTTTTCACTAACTTCAATGGACTTTAGATTTCACTACCAGATTCCAGTGCTAGGCTATCCATATGTTACATATTCCTTCTTATAAAACCCATTTGCTTCTCTGAATTAAGACAATGACCAGAAAACAGTTTTCCTCCTCCACACACAGGTAGCTGATTCAAAAGTGATAAAAACTTACTGAAGGAGTGAGTTTGAGTTCAGATCTCTCTCTGTCTCCTTGTTCAAAGAACTCACTGGTTACCAATTCAGCTGCCTAAAATATAATCACACTAAAGGTTAAAGTTCATGTTAGCTATCTGTAAGAATTACATATTTATTGTTTAAGTACCTTGCCTTAAGCATGTGCTGAACTATAAATTCATGGGCAGTCCCATTCATGTTCCTAGAGCAAAGGATATGCTTTAGTATCTTGCTGAGATTGGGGCTCAGTCAAGGGACACTGTAGATATAATTGTATCTATATCTCTGTAAACACATTAAAAAAAACACATTCTCAAGTCCTTTTGATGCCTGTCAATGACCAGTCCTATTGGAGCTGTATGTAACTTATGCATTTGAGAGAAGAATAGATCATTATTAGATCCAGGAGACATACAAAAATCTTTTTACAAAGATAATTTTAAAGTGTACATGAACCCTTTGGGTGCTGCTACCGATGCTTAAGAAAACTGTCAGTTGTTGGAGAAACAAATCTGATCGATAAGTTCTGTGTTAACGTGAAATCCTAAGGCTCTTTTTCACCCAGTATTGTTCTTCTGTACTATATGTATCCTATACCACTCTAATTACTGTAGCTCTTAAGCATCTAAAGGTGAACACAGATTAAAATTGTCATATTTGATTAAAAGTAAGAATGGCGGCATTGTCTTTTAGAACTATATTATATTCTTTTGCCAGACTCCATGAAGCAGCCTTCATTTTTGACAATGGTATGTGTTACTAGGAACAGGATGCAGTATTCAGAAAAATTATTTTTTGAAAATAATCAAAGCCTAAAGAAACCAGGAAAGCCCAGACAGCAAGTGACACTAGTATAAACAGTTTTAACTAAACGTACTTGCTGTCATGCGCGTGCACACACACACAGAGCTACAGAGGCTATGTCTAGACTTATCCCTCTTTCGAAAGAAGGATGTAAATTAGACATTCTGAAATTGCAAATGAAGTCGGGATTTGAATTTCCTGTGCTTCATTTCCATAATCACATCACGGCATTTTTTCAAATAACATTTCGAAAGTGAAACCGTGGTCTAGACGTGGTTCTTTCGAAAAGAAAAGCCTTTTTTGAAAGATCCTGTAAACCTCATTTTTTGAGGAGTACAGGATCTTTCGAAAAAGGCTTTTCTTTATGGAAGAACCACGGTTTCACTTTCGAAATGTTATTTGAAAAAATGCCGTGATGTGATTATGGAAATGAAGCACAGGAAATTCAAATCCCGACTTCATTTGCAATTTCGAAGTGTCTAATTTGCATCCCTCTGTTGAAAGAGAGATGTAGTTTAGACATATATCCTGAAATAAAGGTATGTTTCTAAATAAGAAAAGGCTTGAAAATTCAAACTCGCATTCTGTTAACTTATCCTGTTGTGTTACTTGCTTTTCTGATAAAAAGCCAAATCATATGCAATACCAAGACACAATATGGTAAACTAAGGATAGACTTTGTACCCCAGGATAACTCTAAATTTCCTGCTCTAGCATTGAAATGCAAGATTGCTATGCAGTCACTTGGGGTATGTCTACACTACCCCGCTAGTTCGAACTAGCGGGGTAGTGTAGACATACCCTTGCAGAGGCTGTCAATAATCATCAGCGCTTACATTTGCTATAACTTAAAAATGAGTCACAAAAATTGAAAGCATGTGAACTGAAATTATAAAATGATTTAAAATCGTCAGCTAAGCTAAGACTAATTACCTGGAGAATTTTACTGCAGTTTGGAATGACTTTTTCTGTATGGAGCCCCATAATGTGAATAAAATAACGGATTAATACACCTTGCATTAGAATAATTTAACAGCCTAACGGCAATTATGATCTTTCCAAGTATCTTCTACATGAATAATCAATGTGTACTTGTCTCCTTTCCTCCTGCTGTCTTCGACATTCCATTTCTATCTCCTTTTGTATGTCTGGTACCTTTCCTAATCCTTTGGAATGTTTACCCTTAGCACTTATTCCTTAGTCCTTTCCATTTATGTATCTTTTGTTCTCTCCCTTCTCAGGACTCCTCCTTCAGATGAGGCTGAGGCAGGGATGAGCAATAAAAATGACAGTGATTCACCAGCGTTAGCCTCTGGCACTGCTATATTTATCTGCGCCTCCGCAGGTATGGGCAATTGCAGCTCCTGTTGGCTGCGGATTGCTGTTTCCAGCCAATGGAAGCTGCGGGAAGCAGTGTGGACTGGGACACCACTTCCCATAGCTTCCATTGGTTGGGAATGGCAATTCACAGCCAATGGGAGCTGCAATCACCTGTACCTACAGCGGTGCAGGTAAATATAGCAGCAGCGGCTCACCAGGGGCGAATCCTGGGGAACCGGATCTGGCCAGCAGGCCAGTATTTGCTTGTCCCTTGGTTGAAGGTTAACAGAGTTTCCATTCTGTGTCCACCACTAGTGTCTCTATTTACTTTTATCTTGGGAAACTCAATCAGATGTGCTTAATGCTAGGAGACTGAGTTTTTAATACAAAATACATGTTGGGCTACAAGGGAAAGTTTAGCCTTTGGAAGTCCTAAGGAAAAAAAACGGGATCTTGGATTTCAGTACTGATATCCCATAGCCTAAAACTCATTCAAGAAGTGCTAATCAGATTCTAACTGACTTTTCTGATACCATAGGAAATGGAAAGGCTAATGGGGTGAGGGGGACTGAGGAATGTCACAAGCTGTAGCCATGGCTGAGGTGGGACTGAGAGCTGAAACTTTTATCCTGCTGTTGGAGAAACTTCCAGATACAGAACCTTCTCATACTACAGTGATATGTCCCACCAAACCCGAAATGTTAGTGAGTGCCTAGGTATTATACACCTTTTCAGAGCCCCACTCTGCAATGCAAATTTGTTCTTCTGTATAGGGAACTACATCTTGAAATATTAAACCACAGCTGAGATAATTAGATTTCTTTATGCTAAAAAGGCATATTCTAGATCTATTCAGACATGTGAATCAACTGTCAGTACCTGTTGGTATTCCATATTTAGGGCAAATTGTGCTATTGTCACTGGGTTATAGAATTATGTATATTGGAAAAGGTAACTTTGGGTTTACCAAAAGGAAAAAAACAAATGTTTGCAAGGTGGTGAGTGTTTTTTGGAAAAGGTCCCTTTTTTGGACTGGAGTTAAAAGGGGAATGGATGAGGAGAAGATATAAAAAATAACTCTTTGTATATCTAAATATTGATCAAGAGCATCAAGCAAAGGAAAAGACTGTGCAATAAACCATGCCTTGCAGAAACACTTTACTATTTTTTTAAGTGCATTAATACTGCTATAAATTGACTGCAGTTTTGCTCCTTTGTAAGTCAGGTCCCTGGGAATATTGTCCTACCAATACTGCCTCGTCCCAGCCCTGCTATTAATCATGACTTGCCTGTCTTGAAATCTCCCACGGTTTGGTCACAGCTCCGAGGTCACAGGCTGTCATTAGCATTGATCTGAATAACAGAAATGAACAATACAAGCTGAATAAACCTTTATTGTATTTCTAAACAAATCTGCCCTGAATGCATAAATAAAAAGTCAGAATTAGCACCTTTTGCCTCTGGAAAGAACAGCAGCACTGTCTGAAATCTTAATCATCAGCATAGTTTTATTATCCACATTATACCTAGGAAGTCTAATATCACATAGATAATGCATAAAATGGAAAATGTATTATGCTAGAAAAGAAACATGTATCAATATAGACAAATCACTAATTTTGCTTCTAACTAATGATAATTATATCATATAATGCAGCATGTTCTTTACCAGGATGTAAGTAATGGAGTTGTTATATAATCATGCAAACTGGATCAATCTATTTGTCCACTAATAAGTGATTGATCTAGCAAGAGAACTTGTAATCATGAGAGGCATTCCAGACACTGTTTCAGCAATTTCTGCTACTCAGCTGCAATAAAAGAAATAAGATTTATAAGGGCTACACTGTTTCACTGTTCAACAACAAGAACTATTCAGCTGTAGAAAGGTAGGGATTTTAGCATATATTTGTTTAAATGATTAACCGGTAAGCCAGAGTTTATCGGTTAAACCTAATAAGTACATGCACTCTTCCCCCCTCTCCCCGAACCTTGATGCTGTAACAGAGGTTTTTAAGATGGCTCCACACAAGCACTGGATCCCATGGAGCTGCCTGCACACCCCCAACGCTGCTGCATCTGATAAAGGGACAGCAGCACAGAGGTTGAGGGGAGCAGGCAGGAACTGATATATGCAGGAATCTGGCTTTCAAGCCAGCTGTCTGGGCTTATTGACTTCTTTGGAGCTACTTGCTCCCCTGCACTGCTGCCTCACACAGAGAGAGGTGTGGGTGGGTGGGTGGGTGTGTGGAGGGGGGGAGCCCCCAACGCTGCTGCATCTGATAAAGGGACAGCAGCACAGAGGTTGAGGGGAGCAGGCAGGAACTGATATATGCAGGAATCTGGCTTTCAAGCCAGCTGTCTGGGCTTATTGACTTCTTTGGAGCTACTTGCTCCCCTGCACTGCTGCCTCACACAGAGAGAGGTGTGGGTGGGTGGGTGGGTGTGTGGAGGGGGGGAG